CTGGTTGAAGTGGAGAGTGAAGGGCCAACTACTGCCCCAAGTATATTCCCTCCCACCTTAATTCCACTTTGAGCTGTCCGTACACTCCTCCGACCCTGCTTCTTTCTCCCTATTATGGACTCTGCCTCTCTGTCCTTAGTCCAAGTGGACCCAAATGCTCAACCCTCAGTCCTCCATGCATTTCCTCCTCCACTCGCCCTCCAAGACACTCAACTCCCTGATCTTCATCTACGATCATCCCACATCCCATTCATGATTCTCAAGTGCTTGTCTCCAAGTCCACATTCCTAGTAGCTTATGGGACACATGGGGTGAAATCTTTTCCAAGAGTCCTGGACCGGTCATAGGGGTATAAATGTATTAGAGCTGTGGTCCCCAACCCCTGGGCTGGGCCTCAGACGGGTACCCATCTGAGGCTGCAGAGAAAAGGCTGCAGAGCAGGAGGTGAGCAGCAGGCAAGCGAGCGAGCAAAGCTTCATCTGTATTTACAGCTGCTCCCATCCCTCACATTACCGCCTGAGCTCCACCCTCCTGTCAGATCAGCAGTGACATTAGATTCTCATAGGAGCATGAACCCTACTGCAAACTGTGTGTGAGAGGGATCTAGGTTGCTCTCCTCATGAGAATCTAATGCCTGATGATCTGAGGTGGAGCTGAGACGGTGATGCCAGTGCTGGGGAGCGGCTGCAAATACACATTATCATTAGCAGAGAGGTTGGACTGCACAGAGACCGTAATAAATCAATTGCTTGCAGACTCATATCAAAACCCTGTCAGTGAGTGGCAAGTGACAATCAAGCTGCATCTGGTGACGGGCTTTATAGTGGCAAGTGAGTTTATGTACTTAAGTTGTACAGCTGCATCTGGCAGTAGACTTTTAAGTCAGAATCCCACACTTATTTTAATCCATGCATGGCCCACTTACTATTTTATTTACCACTTGCATTCACGCCTCTTTCCCACACTGCACAGTTGTCTCAGTCACAGTTTTGCTAGGTTAGCCCACAAGCTAATGTATATTGTGGGCTAACCTAGCAAAAATCAGTAAAAAACAAACGTCGCCAGAGAGCTTCTTTGAAAAGGGGGAAAAACCCAGTGATGAGACAGCAAAAGACTCCAAGACTGCCAACAAAGTGAAAGCTGCATTTACAAGAAAATACCAAGAGTTCTACTTAAATTACGGGTTCATTGCAACAGGTGATTCACATTCTCGAAGCCCACTTTGTATAATATGTGGTGAGCGGCTATCCAATGAAGCCATGAAACCTTCAACACCTCTTCACCACTTGTAGGCCAAGCACCCGGCATTAAAACACAAGCATTTGGAATTTCTCAAAAGAAAAAAATGTGAACACGGAGAACAGAAGCAATTATTGAAGACCACCACTTCATCAAATGTGTCTGCACTGAGAGCACCATTCTTAGTGGCTAACCGCATTGCGAAAGCTAAGAAACCCTTTACTATTGGTGAAGAGTTGATCCTGCCTGCTGCTAAGGATATTCGCTGTGAACTTTCAGGAGAGGCTGCAGTTCAAAAGGTGGCACCTGTTCCTCTTTCGGCTAGCACTCTAACTAGAGGAATTCATGAAATAGCAGAGGATATTGAGGCACAATTGTTAGGATTAATGAGTCACTGTAAGCCAGGTTGCAAGAGCCTACCAGTGTTGACAAGGCAACAATACTTGTTTTGTGCAATATTTTTTTCAGGAGGATGTGCATGAGGATATGTCATATGTGCATTTGTTGCCCACCAACACCATAGCTGCAGAGCTATTCAAGTCTTTGAATGATTACATATGAGGGAAAATGAATTGGTCATTGTGTGTTGGTATGGGCATGGACAGAGCAGCTGCCACGACTGGACGGCTTTCTGGTTTACTACTTGGGTCAAGGAGGTCGCTTCTGAATGTGAGTCTACACACTGTGTCATCTATGGAGAAAGGCTGGCTAGATGAAAATTGTCACCTGAACTAAACAACATTTTGCAGGATGTGATTAAAATTGCCAACCACATTAAAGTACATGACCTTTACTCACGTCTGTTTGTGCAGCTCTGTGAGGAGATGGACACAGAGCATACGTGTCTTCTCTTATACACAGAAGTGAGATGGCTTCCTAAAAATACATCCATGGCCAGAGTTTTTGAGTTATGAGAGCCACTCCAGAAATTTCTTTTAGAAAAACTGTCACCACTGGCAGCACATTTCAGTGACAGAATGGGTCACAAAACTTGCTTACTTGTGTGACATATTCAACCTGCTCAACAAACTCAATCTATCACTTCAGGGGAGAATGAGAACTGTGTTCAAGTTGGCAGATACACTGGCTGCATTCAAAGCCAAACTGGAATTATGGGGGTAATGGGTGAACATTGGGATTTTTGACATGTTTCAAACATTAGCAGAGATTTTGAAAGAGGCTGAGCCAGGGCCTTCATTCTTCCAGCTGGTGCATGATCACCTATCCCAGCTTTCAAAAGAGTTTGAGCATTACTTCCCAACCACAAAAGACTCCCAAACTTGGAAGGAATGGATCCACAACCAATTTGTGAATAAGCCAGGTATATTGATTGACTTTGTCCATGCTAGAGGAGGATCAACTGCTTGAGATCACAAACAACTGTGGCCTTAAAAGTATGTTTGAGACAACTTCAAATCTCCATACGTTCTGGATTAAAGCCAAAGCAGAATCTCCTGAGATTGCCACAAAAGCACTGAAAAGCCAGCTTCCATTTCCAACATCCTAACTTTGAGAAGCAGAGTTTTCTTCGGTGACAGCAATCAAAACAACATTACGGAGTAGACGGAACATAAGCAACACACTTTGGGTGTCACTATTTCCCATCACTCCCAGATGGGACCATCCAGGTGCAGGAAAATAACCTCAGGGCTCCCACTGACTCTGCATTATAGAGAGTTGTATAATTATTTCATTACATGTTACAATGTAATAATAATAAAGTGCACAATAAATGTAATGTGCTTGAATCATCCTGAAACCATGCCCCTCACCTCCCGATCTGTGGAAAAATTGTCTTTCATGAAACTGGTCCCTGGTACCCAAAAGGTTGGAGATCACTAGAGGATGGTTCCTTTAAGCTGCTCAGGGATGGCTCTGATTATCTTTAACTAACTGGTAAGGAGGATCTCCCCGCCACGTCCTCACTGCCCTCCCCTTCTCCCCAGCACACTCCCTTCCACCTGCCTGGCCCGAGGGTGCTCAACCCTGAGGAGAGTGCTGCACGAACAGATGGGTTGGCACAGGTTTAAAGTAGGAAAATCTTTCTTCTCAATGCTTCCGGTCGCAGCTGAAAGGCAGTAGAGCATAGTGATTTGGAACTAGGGTGTGGAGTCAGACAGACCTGGCTCCAAACCTCCTCAACTACTTACAGTTGTATGATCTCTCTAAGCTAAGGTTTCTCTTCTGCAAGACGGGGATAATAATACCAGTTCTAGCTCATTGTTTTCTTGGGACGAGAGCGTGAGATAAATCATGTAAGCACTGAGCACAGTGACTGGCCTGGAATAAGTTTCAGTGGACGGTCATCCTTAGGATTATTTTGTAGCCCTTTGCTTTTGAGACGACAGCTGGTGAGCTCTGTAGCCTCAGGCATGACTAAAGCAAGGCCAAGGCTTTGGAATGGTGGCTTATTTTTAATTAATTAATTACTTACTTATTTTTACAGCTCAGCAGATAACTAAAGAAAGAAAATGAGATAAAAGGGAAGAAATTTTCCACAAATGGGGTACTGATTATGACTCCTCATCAGGCATCATGGGAGTTGCTTTATCTTTCTATCTCTTGTAACCTCCCACCGTCCAGTTGGGAATGAGAGTTGGATCTTACTGTTCCCATGTGTTCAGTGTTTCTCAAAGTGTATTCCGTGGACCAGTGAGCATCAGAAGCACCTGTGGAGGTGCCCTGGTCTATCTAGCTCCTCAGAATCTCTGGGGCAAGGCCAGGGCATCCATGTTGTAGCCTGATTCCCAGATGATTGTCATCAAGTGTGAGGATCTTCGATTTAGTTCTTATATCACATAATCTAAAATTTGATTCTATATTTTCTTGTATTTATACTTGTAAGCATTTTCTCCCTTACTTATGTATTAAATTCTCCACAGTAAGGATCATGTTTTCTAGTCTACTTGAAACCCCACTAGTGTGCTAGTGTACAGCTCCATCCTAAGTACATCATTGGGAATTAATGAGAATACTTGCCAGGGTTTAGTTTTCTGCCCTGCAGGGTCTTGATCTGTCAATGCCTAAAGATTAGTAGAGACCTCAAATTAGAATGGCAATTCACCAATACCCAAGATTATTTGAGAAATAATGTGAGTTTTTAATCAATATTTTCTCATTGTCAATCGTGTGGGGCATGGTTCGTTTACTGGTTAATGCACTGTGATTCCTGAATTATTGACAAGAGAACAAAATTAACAAGTTCCTTAAAAGTAAAGCCCATTCCAAGTTTCAGCATGTTTGTAAAACAGAAACTCACAGGCCTTCCTCCCTTCCCTTCACAGAAAGCTGGGTAAGGCAAAATGCCTTTTGTCCAAAATGGTTTCAACTTTTAAACACATGAATTGAAACATAATTTTCATTACAGAATCAGCAATGATGCATGCTAATTTTAGGGGAAAGGAAGGATTTGTTATTCTATGATGTATTTGTTCCTGAGAAATTGAGAGGTTTGGTGTATGTTTTTATGGTAGTTTTCTTTGAGGTTCTATAAACACCTTCTGGAATGTGGAGGTTCTACCCTCAGAGTCATATGGGAGCTTTTCCAGTGCCCTAATGTCATTAACCCCACTGCTTTGGTTGCTGTGATGTATAATTATTTCTTGTACATTCAAAAAGCAATTCTCTGATCTCCGACCCATTAACCATGTTTGATCTTTAACAAGATGAAAAATGTTTGGAATCTATGCTTCTGATCTTTGTGCTACATTTTTCTTCTCTTAATTCACAGTAGCTTTTCCTTCCCTCTTCCTCTTCTTTAGGATCAACACTCTGTGGTAGGCCAGAACGCAGGCCCCAATCCAAGTCCCAACCCCTGCTCAAATCCAAACACTGGAAGTGGTTACATGAACTCCCAGCAATCACTGTTGAATCAGCAATTGATGGGAAAGAAACAGGCTCTCCAGAGGCAGATCATGGAGCAGAAACAGCAACTTCTTCTGCAGCAGCAGATGCTGGTGGACACGGTAAACCTTTCTCTTAATTTCTACTGCACCTACCTGTTGGCCCCACAGAGGGGAGTTCATTCTTTCCCACGTCTATTTACTGCCCTTTTCTCTGTGCCTACTTATGTGACAGCAACAAGGGTGTCCTGGCTGTAAGGAAGGATAAATTCCATACATTTAAAGTACTGCAGGAAAAAAAAAAGAAAACTTGATTTACCAGCTGCTGGACACTTGGAATGCATGGCACCTCTGCTAACTAGCCCTGCCCAGCACAGGAATGTCTCTAGAACTCTCCAACAACCAATATGGGCATTTGGATCAGGCAAAAGAAACCAGTGTTATTCCCCAGCCCTGAGGGGCAGAAATCGTGAACAAAATTTTAATCAGCTCAAATCCAAATTGATTTTAGAGATAAAAGAATTTAAAAAGCAGTTTTAAAAGTCAACATGGAGTTTCAAAACTGAGATTTGGCTTCAAAAATAAAACATCTCACAATAGTGGATGTTCTTTAAGAAAATTGAAAATGTATTTCTCATTTTCGCTGTATTTATTTGGCCTTTTATTTGTACCCCCATAATATGCTGAAATTAAAAAAAAAGAAGAAAAAAAAAGAAAGGCAAGATCATGTTTCCCACACACAAACCACGCATTAACCCTACTTCAATATTTATCTGCTCCCTTTTGTGTTCTCAGACATACTCAATACTCAACAGCATCCAAAAGCCTTCCTGCCTCCAAAGATCATGGCCCCTAGATTGAGTCTCTCCTTTCAAAGTATTTGGCCACATGAAATAAGAAATATCCATTTCCAGGTCAATAGAGCTAAGGTACACAGAAAAGAGAAAAACAAAATCAAGCAATTTTATACTCAAAGAGCTTTGTAGTAAGAGTCAGAAATGTAGGGTGTGATAAGTGCTGTAATTATTTGGTAAATATTAATATACAGTGAGGATACAGCTATAAACAAGACAGACCCTCTGTTTGCCCTAAAGAAGTCTAGAGCCCCCTGAGGATGTGTCAAACAAACAGGCAGTTGTAATGCATGTGGTTAAATGCTATGCCATGGGAAATGCTAGAAATGGTTTCAGGGAGAAATTCTATCTACAGATGATCTGAAGGTGAAGTAGAACATGGGAGGAAGAGTAGGGGGCTTGTTTTGGTCGGAAGAACCAGAATATTCAAAGACCCAGAGCCAATAAAGGATGCTATATATTACATTTGCCAAGCTGTAGAATGTGCACAAGGATGGGGAAGTGACAGGCAAAGAGACCAGAGATGAGAGGCTGAGGCTTGATAAACCAGAATTTATATTGTCTAGAAAGCAATGGAGAAGATTTAAAAAATCTGACACAAGGAACTACTAGATACAGATTTGCATTATAGTGAATGTATCAACATAGTAAGAGAAAATGCGAGGGAAAGAACGATTAAATCCAGCCTGGAAAGATTAAAGATAGTCTCCCAGAAGAAATAAAATTTGACTTTGACTTTGAAGAATTGTAGGGTTCTTTCTGATAGATAGAGTAGGTGGGCTCCACCATTCTAGAAGGAGGGTGGGCAGAGAGACCAAAAGGTGTAGTCTGGCTGTGTATTTGTTGGTTAGTTTGAGATTGTACTATGAAATATTTGATGCATAATGAAAAATATAAACAATGATATAAGAATCATATATATACATGTTGTTTTTTTTTTAAGGAAAGACAGACAAATTAAATAAGTTTGTAGTCCACGGCATCTGAAAAGAAATAGTGAGAAATAACTTTATTTGACCTTGAATGAGGAATAGTGAGAAATAAGTTTACAGATGACCTTAAGCAGTAGTCCCCAACCTTTGGCACCAGGCACCAGGGACTGGTTTCATGGAAGATAATTTTTCCATGGATGGGCGGGACGGGGTTTGGCATGATTCAAGTGCATGATTACAAATTTATTGTGCAGTCAGACATCTCTGCTAATGATAATCTGTATTTGCAGCTGCTCCCCAGGGCTAGCGTCACCGCCTCAGCTCCACCGCAGATCATCAGGGATTAGATTCTCATAAGGAGCGTACAACCAGATCCCTTGCATGTGCAGTTGACAGTAGGGTTCCTGCTCCTATGACAATCTAATGCCATCGCTGCTGATCTGACAGAAGGCAGAGCTTATGTGGTGATGTGAGTGACGGGAAGCGTCTGTAAATATAAATACAGATGAAGTTTCGCTGGCTGGCCTACTGCTCACCTCCTCCTGTGCAGCCTGGTTCCTAACAGGCCACAGACCAGTACTGGTCCACAGCCCTGGGGTTTGGGACCACAGACCTTGAGTACTGCCTTAAGGTATAAGGGAGACACTGACTGGATCACAAAGTGACATAATTAATTTCTTCTTGAAATCATAGTTTTTAAAACTCCAGTCTTCCCACCCATTCCCACCACTGCCAACCACCTTTTTTTTATTCTTATAAACTAAAGAGCTTAGAAACAAGGGCAGCAGAAGAGAAAAGCATACAATTTAAGATTGATTTACTGGGTGCACTTTTATCACTACTAACATCAATACTACTAACTTGATGAATTATAACATGCAGAGGGCGCATTTCTAGATTTTTGGCTCTGGTTAAAAGGCAAGGAAGTGGTAGTGTACACATCCCATGAGGGTCCTGGTCTGGCACTGGCCTGACTCCCACCAGCTCCAGTTGAGTCACCACTGGGCCAGGTGCAAAGGGCAGTGGCATACGCTGTGCAAGATGAATAAGAATGAGGTTGCTGTCTTTGTGATTTTTATAAACCATTCACATTTCTCTTTGTTTGGACACCATTGAGGGTGCCTGTGCTTTTTAGCATATTCAGGAAGAAGTAGTCTTTGATACCACTTTGCATTAGCATATGCTTTGTGGTCGGTTGTAGTCAGTTGGCAAGGCCAGATAGGCGCCTAAATTGAGATATTTTCTCATGAAAGTTTGTTATCCTTCCTCTATTATTCTCCCACCACTGAAGCACAAAAAAGAGAGATGAGTTGTACTTATTACAATGGGCATCATAATAACCAACACATACCATACACCTACTGTGTGCCAGGCACCACACTGAGTTTTTACAGAATTAAAGGATTAATCCTTATAGTAGGAGTATAAGAAAGATCCTCATACTTAATTACATACATAATTACCCATATCTTGCATTTTTGGAGATGGAGAAATTGAAGCAGGATAGATATACTATAGCAGATGATTTCTATAATAGGTTTTTAGGTCCAAGAGATTGGGTTATCGTTAGATATTACTTGATAAATTAAATTTTAGGTGGCATAAAAGTAATCTCAGGGATGTTTACACTTGGATAGAGTAGGAGTGTCATTCTCTTCCAAAATGTCACCATATCCATTCAGTATTGGAGTCTGGTCTTTGCATCTCTTCAGCATAAAGTGACAACATGACAGTTCTGTGTTATGTCCATAAACAAGGTTATTAATTCTAACTCATTTGTGAACATGTAGTTTTATAAACTTAGATTTCCAGAGATATATATGATAAGCCTTTTAACAACAACAATTTATCCCTTGGGGTAATAAAATATCAACAATTAGATTGAAGATACATAAAAATAAATCCACATTTGAAATCTAGTCTATGATGGGGCATCAAAGGCCTGATTGTCACACACACACACACACACACACACACACACACACACGTGCATGCACACACATACACATCCTGTCTTCTTTAGTATATTCAGCAGAAATACCTAATTACATAAGAAAGAGTGACAGATGCTTTTGGAAAAGAGAAGATTTCAGAAAGTTTTTATGTTGGCATAAAAATCAAAACTGTCATCTTACACAATAGTTTACAACAGGGCTGGTTGAACATCACCACATTTGGGTTCATGGAACATCTCAAGCTATTTCTTAAACATTTAGGGTTTGAGCAAAACCGAAAAGAGTTTCACCAACCACTTTTTCCCTTAATTTGTAAATCTATGCTTAAAAGAAATATAATCCATATGTTTCTGATTCATTTACACTTAGCTCATCAAAATTGTGTTTTAGATGAATTACTTATGTCCCAAAAAACTGTGAGTCTTTCAAGTTTTTTTCTTAGCAACAAGAATTTGAACTTAGTTTGTTGTTGTTTTAAGGCTTTTCCCCTTACTTTATAGTAGACTTATTCTGCTAAAAAGAAGGTTTGGAATTTGATGGGAAACTGAGAAACACATGGTTTAAGTGAGTTCTAAGTCAGTGCACATTTGGCTTCCAGCTAATTTACCCATGTATCTATTACAAAGTTTTCTTTTCTATTTATTGACTTTTCTATAATTATAGTGTTCTTTCTCTACCTCTGCCAATAATTTTTATCTTTGAAAATGGAGGTTGCTATGGGATGCATACAAAATTGCAGTGAAGCAATTCTGAAAACTTCCTGATCCATACTGAGTAAGAAGAAAAGCAGCCCTTGATGTCCAGAACTGATATGATGTAGCCAGGCCATTTTGTCCTCTGTTGGACATAAACAATCTTATAGAATATCAACCTCAGACAAGGTTACTCTGAGACTATGGTAGAATGAGATCAAATAAGGCCACTTTATAATTTTGCCTAAAGGTCACACTGTGCAACTCCCAAAATAACAAAATATCCCCCTTTCTTGAGCTGAGTGAAAGAGCTACTTTACTCAATCATAGAATCAACCTCACTTTCTGACAGCTTCCAATCTAGAACAAATCCCTATTTTCTTAGACCCTCCCTAAATCACCCAAAGTCCAAATCCTATCATAGGTTCTTTCTAACACACCCCTACTGGGACACCCCGTGACCACCCATGATTGAATTCTCCCTTGATACAATGAGTAAAATGTCCAACAGGTATGTTCCTGGTAGTTTTGGCTGAGGGCACTGACAAGATTAAAAGAATGTCTCTCTTTTCTCTGTTATCTCCCACACTCACCTGTTCTAAAGATCTAAAGGTGGCTGATTCCAGAAGGAAGAAGAGAAGGGAGTCTAAGGAATTTCTGTGCTTTTAGAATGGGGCCCTGAGAAACTGAGGAGCAAGGGGCCCTTGTATTGTGTGGCATGAAGAGCCTGAGTTTTGACTCAGGATTCTGTCTCTGTTCTACCACTGTGTGACCTTGAGCAAGCTTCATAGTCTAACAAAGCTTCCATTTTCTCATCTTATAAGTGGAAATAATCATACTTACCTTTCAGGATTATTTGTGAGTAGGTAAAAAAGAAATAATGTACATATAGTACCTATGCCAGTACCTAATAGATTATCGCCTAATATCCCACCCTATCTAGGGCTGCCCCATGTGGCAAATAAAAATACAGAATGTCCACTTGTTCTGTAAACAGAACTTTTGTTCATGCAAAACAAAGGATATGAGAGTAGCTATTAGATCCAGTGTTATGGAGAAGCAGAAATTATACTCCCATGCAGGAAATATATTGAAATTGCAAAGATTTACCTCTGAATTAAGACTAATAAGGTTATGATTCATAACCCACGACTGCAAAATTGCTCTTATATTATTTTTTTTCATTGTTTTTTATTTCATCATATTATGGGGGGTACAAGTATTGTTAATGTTACATATGTTGCCCTTGCCCTCCCTCCCCCCACCGAGTCAGAGCTTCTAGCGTGGCCATCCTCCAGGTGGTGCGCATCGCACTCATTACACAGGTATACACCCATCCCCTCCTCCCCCGTCCCACTTGCCTGCCACCCGATGATAATTTTTTTTTTTTGACATTTTGGTTGCATTTTATATCTTTGCCTCTCCCTAGGAAGGGTTAGAGGTGTGCCCTTCCCCTCCACAATGCTCTCCACATCCCTAAGATGTGGGTCTATATTCTTATTTTTTGAATAACATCACGTAAATTTTTACAAGTGAAAAAGCAACAGTACAATTGAATATGTTTTCATTTGTTTTTTCAAGGAGAAAATGGCTCCACAAGATCAGATAAACCGACATCTGACAAGGCCACCCCCAGATTACAAAGACCAAAGAAGAAATGTGGGCAATATGCAACCAACTGCTCAGTATTCTGGTAAGTGTTTTTAAAAACTAATAAAAATGATAACTGTGAAAAGAAGAAAACCCTTCAATTTTCAATATTTTCTCCTTTTCCAGTCTTATATTTGGTTGTAATGTCTTTCTTAGGATCTTTTGCTCACTTCCATTTTGCTTTCTCATGTCAAGACCACACTTAAATATTTTTCAGTCCTTCTGTCAGTTCCTCTTGATTGTTCTTGCCCTATATTCACATATTTCACTGCTTTCCAAACTACTTCTGGAAATTCAAAAGAGCTCAATGTTTTCTAACTGCTAGATTCAGTCATACTCATCTTAATGGCATATTTTGCCCCCAGGTAGTGCAGAGCAAGCAGACGTTGCTCCCTCTTGGACCCATACTTGTGTCACTTGCATAGAGCCTAGTCCTGCTATCTCCACCTTCGAGCTCATCTCTCCAAGGTCTCTCCTTCAAAGACAAACAGTCCTGCCACCAAGGAATAAATTGAAAAACAAATTAAGTTTTTAGGAAGGGTCTCAAAAACACCAAAAGAGGACTCCATTTAAGTCATAAAGCAGAACTTCTTAAAAGCTCTCTCAATATAAAATAGGTGGTAAGCACTGCCCCCCAAATCTCTCTCCACCCACTCTCTGACCTCCAAAAAAAAATCTTTTCCCAAACCCAGCCTGTCCTGTTCCTGCTTTCTCCTGTTCAACATCTATTCAACTGTCTTCTGCCCAAAAATCTGCAGTTTACCCTGTAAGTTAAGCTTATCCTCTTGGGTTTCCAAAGTTCTCTCTGTTTTACCTGTTACCTTCATCTGTCTGGAAAGGCATCAAGAAGATTCCCTAAAAAAGGAGAAGCTGTGAACGCTCCTAGTATCTATTAGTATATCCCGGTACTATTAAGTGTAGTTTTAAATATGTTGGTCCTGATTTATTTAAACTCCTTCAAATATACCAGGTTGCCTCTTTTGACTAAAATAGGAATGGAGCGAGTTTGTGCCTGTAGTCCCAGCTACTTGGGAGGCTAAGGTGGGAGGATTGCTTGAGACCAGGAGTTTGAGGCCAGCTTGGGCAACATATGGAGACCCTGTCACTGAAAAAATAAATATGTAAATAAATAAAATTAGGAATGGAATGTATGTGTCCCACTCTCTAAGTTTACTTTGCCTCAAGGCAAAAACAGTTCTCTCTATTTGTCCTCAAGGAAGTTGAGAGACAAGATGGGGTTTATAGTCATATGTTGATTAACGATGAGGATATGTTCTGAGAAATGTATTGTTAGGTAATTTCAGCATGGGAACATCAGAGTGTACTTACATAAACCTAGATGATACAGCCTATCTATCTAGGTTGTCCAGGGGTCCTCAAACTTTTTAAACAGGGGGCCAGTTCACTGTCCCTCAGACCACTGGAGGGCCGTTGGAGAGTGTGGCGCACATTCCACACATGAGCACTGTGGGCCCGGGACGAATCGGCTGCTAAGCAGGACAGGCAGCGGCAGCAAAAGCAACCTCTGGGCTGATTAAATGTCCTCGGCGGGCCGCATGTGGCCCGCAGGCTGTTGTTTGACGACCCCTGGATAGCCTATTGATCTGATTCTACAAATGTGTCCAGCATGTTACTGTACTGAATACTGTAGGCAACTGTAACAGAATGGTAATTATTTGTGTATCTAAACATACCTAAACATAGACAAGATATGGTAAAAATATTGTATAAAAGATTAAAAATGGTACATGTATATAAGGCACTTAGCATGAATGGATCTAGCAGGACTAGAGGTTGCTCTGGGTGAGTCAGTGAGTGAGTGGTAAGTGAATGTGAAAGCCAAGGACATAACTGTACATTACTGTAGACTTTATAAACACTGTACACTTAGGCTACACTTTAATTAATTTACTTTAATTTTTTTACCTTATAAACTTTTAAATTTTTTAAACTTTTGACTCATAATAACATTTAGCTTACAATACAAACACATTGTATAGCTGTACAAAAATATTTTCTTTATTTATATCCTTTGTCTATTTATATCTTTTACTAATTTTTTATAATTTTTAAATTATTTTTAATTGACACATAATAATTATACATATTTATGAGTTACAGTGGGTATTTCAATACATGTATACAATGTGTAGTGATCAAATCAGGATAATTAGCATATCCATTATTTCAAATGTTTATCATTTATTTGAGTTGGGAACATTCAAAATCCTCTCTTCTACCTATCTGAAAACAGTATAAATTACTATTAACTATAGTCACTCTACAGTGATTTAGAACAATAGAAGATATTCCTCCTATCTAACTGTAATTTTGTATCTGTTAACCAACCTCTCTCTATCTCTTCCCCCCACCCCACCCTCGCTTGTTCCCTCTATTCCCTAACCACAACTCTACCCATTACTTCAGTGAGATCAACTTACTTAGCTTCCACATATGAATAAAAACATCTGGTATTTATCTTCTATGCCTGGATTATTTCACTTGAATTAAAACTTTTTTTTTTTTTTACTTTTTAAACTTTTTTGTTAACACGTTTCGTACCACATAGAAATTTCTAAGACATACGCCAGGGACCGCATGTTTTTGGGCAAACTGCACGTTACTTAAATCACCATAACTACAGATCATAATGCATTTAGGTGTGGTTTTTCAATAATTATAACATTTTTATTTACAAAAACAATTAAACAAACAACGAATTAAACAATTAAAGTTCCTAGTACTTTTTTAACATATGGTACTGCGTAAAACATTTTCCTCTATGAAGAGGGACCAAACAAAATTTACATAAGTATCTAGATTTGTTCCTTTTTCCAGCGGCACAAACTCTGCAGGCTGTCGCAGGAAATTTTTTCTTTCCACTTGCTGGAATACACATAGGTTCATGCTGCTTCATATCACCTGACAACCTTTTGGGTGGATCTTTACGAGGTGTTCTCCTTGCACCCCCAGGGGAAGGGCTGGACAGATTTGTCTCTGGTTCTGGAGAGCCTTTATTATTGTCATCTGTTATCCAGTCTCTCACCACCGATAGCAGAAACTGTTTATACTATTTTTGCTTGTGGATTGAGGATGTTGTATACTCTAAGTGAATTGAAAAGTCCACAGTTTATAAGGTACAGCACTACTTTTTTTTATCCATTTCATCATTTTCCTTAGAATGGAACGACACGAAAGGAATTGATCTGCACAGTCAACGCCTTTCCTATGGGCATTGTATTCCTTGATGCAGGCAGGTTTTCCAATATTCTCTCCTGTTTTTCTATTTTTTTTTTTCCTGTTGTCGAGATAGAAGTGTCATGGATCGTTAATATCATTCAGACAACCCGCTTGTCTTTCCATGCTAGGAGAAGAATATTGCCTTTTCTGGAAAATATTGTGTCACCTTTTTTCATTCTTGACGTTTTCATTTTCAAATTTGGTGGTAAACTTCTACTCTCTCTGATGGTCAAGACAGTGTGTTGACATCTAAGGTCCATAACAGATGGCGTGTGAAACACGAGAAAACTCGTGAACAGTACGAAAGGTGTTAAGAGCTAAGACACGAACACACACAGTAGCCTAGACCTACACAGGGTCAAGATTATCTATCGATTTCTTCCACCTCCACATCTTGTCCCACTGCAAGGTCTTCAGGGGCAACAGCAGGTATGGGAATGTCATCTCCTATGATAACAATGCCTTCTAGAATACTTCCTGAAGGACCTGCCTGAGGCTGTTTTATAGTTAACTTTTTTATAAGTAGAAAGAATACACTCTAAAATAATGATAAAAAGTATAGTACAGTAAATACTAGGTGCTAGGAATTTTTCATCTCCATTGTAATGTCATGGGACCATTGTCGTATATGCTGTCCATGGTTGACCAAAACATCATTATGTGGTACATGCTATATTTGAAACACAGCTTATTATACCGTGGTCTGTAAACTCAAGGTGGATGTCTAGGTTTTTCTTTTCCCCACTCATATAAAAGAATCCCAGAGATGGTAGTGGAGGGCTGGTTTGGTGGCTCCGCAGTGTAATCGGGAATCCAGGCTTCTTTTGCTTTTGCTTTCCTGCTCCACATTCAGCACGTGGCTTCCATCCTCAGGGCTGCCTGGTAACACCACCGCACCAACCTTTACATCCTTATTCCAAGTAGGGAGAGGAAAGAAGAGAAAAGGTAAAATAGCCACCCCCCTCCCCCAGTGAGTCAGGGTCCTTTTATTAAAGCAGGTTTTTTGGACTCCCAAGTACTAAATTCTACCTTTAGCCAGCATCTACTCAGCTGGACCTCCCATCAGCAAGGAAGTTTGGAAAATGGGGTTTTCAACTAAATACATTGCTAGAAAATCAAGGTTTCAGGCATGTTACTTCATAAGAGTATCTTTCTCCAAGTTTTGTCTTTGCTTCAATCTCTCCATTCATTCATTCATTCATTCATTCATTCAGAAAATAGCAATTGAATACCTACTTTGTGTCATCCACTAGTCTTGGGGAATGTGACAGTGAACAAAATGGGCAAACTTTCCTTTCCTCATGGAAGTTACCATCTAACAGGGATATTTTTTCCTCTTTCTGGCAGTCCATTTTTGTCTCTCCACATGTTTTCTCACGATGACTTTAACCTCCCCAAGTCAGGAAGATTTCACTGTGTTGATTAATCACGATCTGTTGTGTGGAGCTTCCCTATTCAGCAGCCCGTGCCTCAGGCACTTGTTCCTCATCCCATCAGTTATTGACAGGCATCAGCTTAGCTGGCAGGCAGTTTGAGCCTCCATGGATTGCCCAGTACAAAAGCTAAGTGCTAAAGGAAAGATTCAAAGGGCAAATGATGCTGGAGACTAGAGACTGGAATGTAAGAGAATTATTACTCTAGGAGCCATGTATAGAATTTATCCACACTTTGTTATTTGGAAATAATCGCATGGATTTCATGACAGATGGATAATCAAAATTGTACTCTTTGGACTTAGAACATCATAAAGCTAATTCAAAATGGAATATGGACTATCATCTCCCCTTAACCACTTCAGTACCAGCATCAGCTTTAGTCGATAGCCACAGATGAGCGCGCACAGCAACTTTAGCCAACAGCCATGACATGACTTTTCTAATTTTTCATTTATCAAAATAAAATTGTGAACATTTAAAAATACCGTAATGAAAACATATATGTATATGTTACCTATTCTGACTTACATTACAAGGAAAGCCACCTGTAAAGTAAAACAAGCTTTCAGTGCTTTAAAGCTTTCCTCACCACACAAGAGCAAAACAGATTTGTCGTCAATGAACAACACAAACTATCGTGTGGCCCATGAGTGCCGGCTGTGGGCAAGGTTTCACGGCCGGTGAGCACTGTACCGAAGTGGTTAATGACTCCAGAAGAGGAATAAATTAAAACCTGTAAAGTAGAATCATTCCAGTTTAGTCTTCTTTCTGTAACATGTAAACTCTTGAACTAAGGAGTGACCTAGGGTGATACTTCCTCCCAAAAGCTGTCTTGTTCCTTTTATGTAATATATTTGATGACTATTTCTCTTAACTTGATCTTATGTCTGAAAGCATTTTCAGAGTTGATAAGTTATTGCAAAGTGCTATCAAAGAGGAGATAACATAATGTGATGAACTAATATAATTCTCTTCTTTTTCTTAGGTGGCTCATCAACAGTGAGTCTAAACTCTAACCAGGCTTTGGCAAACCCAGTTTCAACACACACCATTTTAACTCCCAATTCTAGCCTCATGTCTACTTCCCATGGGACAAGAATGCCATCATTATCTACAGCAGTTCAGAACATAGGAATGTATGGAAATCTTCCTTGTAATCAACCTGGCACCTACAGCGTCACTTCAGGAATGAATCAATTGGCCCAACAGAGAAACCCAAACCAGTTGATAGCAAATCAAAACAACCCTCTGATGCCACGGCCACCTACCTTAGGCCCAAGTAATAATAACAACGTGGCCACTTTTGGAGCTGGAACTGTTGGCAATTCACAGCAATTGAGACCAAGTTTGACCCATAGTATGGCAAACATGCCGGCACAGAGAACATCGAACGTAATGATCACATCCAACACAGCAGCACCAAACTGGGCCTCTCAAGAGGCAACAACCAAACAGCAGGAAGCCCTAAAGTCCACAGGAGTCCGCTTCCCCACAGGGACACCTGCAGCCTATACCCCAAACCAGTCATTGCAACAGGCAGTAGGTAGCCAGCAATTTTCCCAGAGAGCAGTGGCTCCTCCTAACCAGTTAACACCAGCAGTGCAAATGAGACCCATGAACCAAATGAGCCAAACACTAAATGGACAAACCATGGGGCCACTCAGGGGCCTGAATCTCAGACCCAATCAGCTAAGCACACAGATTTTGCCTAATTTGAATCAGTCAGGAACAGGGTTGAATCAGTCGAGGACAGGCATAAACCAGCCACCATCCCTGACACCCAGCAATTTTCCTTCGTCCAACCAAAGTTCCAGGGCTTTTCAAGGAACTGACCATGGCAGTGACTTAGCGTTTGACTTCCTCAGCCAACAGACTGATAACATGGGCCCTGCCCTGAACAGCGATGCTGATTTCATTGATTCTTTGTTGAAGACAGAGCCTGGTAATGATGACTGGATGAAAGACATCAATCTTGATGAAATCTTGGGGAACAACTCCTGAAGAAGAAAGAGGAGACAATGTACAAACTCCAAGCACTAAAAGGCAGTATTTTACAAGGACTCTGTAAAGGCCAAACTGTTGACTTTTAAGTGGACTACATGAAAATACCATGGCTTAAAATTGGAAAGCAGAAAGTAACTGCAGTAGTGAACATTTTGGTCCAAATTCTTGTCCTAAATCTCAAACCTGAAAGTAAAACATTGGGATCACTTTTCCCTGTCTAAACTCCAGGACACAGTATCCAATTTATCTAAACAGAACTGTGATGTTGATGTGTAATTAATTGTGTAAAATAGGCTTCCCAAGCTCCTTTTCTCCCTGAAAGAAAGATAATAAGAACTTGTAGCTTATTTAAACCCCATGTCCTGAGGAGGTACTATTAATAGTTCCAAGCAACAAATTCCTTAATTTGCCCTAATGGATATGTGTGGTTTGATTTTTCCACACTGTCTTTTCATTTAATTTTTCTAAATCTTGCAGGATGGGTTGAAATGCCATTGGTTTGTTTGGAGAAACCAAATAGTACCCTAAGTAAGGGAAAACCAGAGAACCTAGAAAACATCCAGTGGAATGCAGAATTTCTTTGCTAGATTCACCCCTTACTTTTGTAGTTTTCCCAAAAGTCCTGTACTTTGGGATGCATGTATAGTGATGAAACAAGAATGTAGAGCTGTGAAGTGTGATTTTGGCTTCCATAGCCAATTTCTGAATCCATTCCCAACCAAGTTTTAGATACAACCAAGACCTGTCCTGATCATACTGAAATACTGATGCACACCTGTCTATATTAGATTTTACTTTTTTAAAAAATCCATTGGACATTGCTATAAAGAAAACTTATTTGGCCACAAATAATCCAGGGTGTTGCTTATTGTGGTTGATGCCCACTGGTTTATACCTAAGCTGAATGAAATCAAGCCTTGTCCTTCCTATTCATTTTGATGACCAGAGACTGATTTATAAGAAAAGGAAGTTTGGAAACCAAAACTGAGATTAGAAAGTATTATGTTTTGGTTGGAGATAAGAACCAGGAGTGGTGGGTTCAAGTGGTTACAAATCTATTAGGATTTGAAGGAAAGCATAATTAAGAGGGAAAATAATCTGGCCTTCTTCAGACATGTTATTTGGGTGAACAGCTAAATACTAATGGAATGTGGTCTGTTAGTGGTGGTCTATTCATTCTTCTCTCTCTGACATGATGAATCATTGCCACATGCTAGATGAGTCCTTCATGTCCAGGTTTTCTCCCTCAGGGCTGAGCACTAGTTTGTTGAGTCATTTAACCTCAGTGCCCATATACAGATCAGCTGTAAAATGGGGCAAGATATGTGCTGATTTGGAATGGATGAAAAATATCACCATCATTTTCCTAATTACAGAGGAACAAAGGTTATCTTCAGCCCTTTCAGTGATACACTCACATATTCAAATATCAAATGTAATTTAACTGGTCATTTAATAATCAAGTCTTTAAATATCTGCTCAAAAAAAAAAAAGAGAGAACACATTTTGAAAGTTCTACAAAGCTCTCTCCCAATCTTTAAAATGTCTAAAAGCATTCTCCTTCTGTTACACAAACACCAACATCACTGGCCCAGAATCCTTTCTGTGCTAGGTTGTAAATATAAATAAATTACTTGTTTTGTAAACTTTTGTAAAGAATATTTTGGTAGAAATACTTAAAACATATTCTTTGGGTTATATTTATACATATGTGAAATAAATATACTATCAAAAGGTTATATTTTATACAAAAAGTAAATTGCTACCTTTTGTATGCTAATATACAAAGTTTTGTATAATATGATGGTTTATTTTTAGCTCTACACTTAAACCATAGGTGGTCGAGTGGGGACTTTTGAAAACTATCAAGAGGCTTGTTAGACACATTTATATTCTGAAACCTCAATAAGAAAGCATTCCGGGTTTCAATCTTTATCCTTTTTTATTTTTTTCCTGCTCCCACAGTCTTTTTTAAACCTTTAGTTCTTGTGTCTTATTTGATTATTCTGCTGTGCACATTGTATTGGTCCTTGTTGCATGTGGTCTACTGTGTGTTTTCCCGTTTGATAAAACAGCGTTTTTCCATGCAAAAAGAAAAGAAAATATGATGTACATAAAAACACTTTTATTTTATGCCTCCTCCATGTTACTGTATATATCTGCCAGCACTTCCCAGTTACACTCCTGTGATTCAGCTTATTTTTCCCCCCCACATAAATAGTATGTTTTGTAGTAGTTATCAAATTTAAGAGATAAAGCAATCAGAATGTTTGGATTTCCTTCTATCTAATGTGAATTTCATAATTAATGTCTATTTATTCAGCTATTCATTAAAATACAGGATTCTTTGGAAAAAAATGATGTAGTCTATAGTTTCTGTTTGTTGGCAGCCTATTACCAAAGATGAGGTAATTTTCCTGAAACCTGAGATAATGGCAATTTGATAGACATATTTAGCCAAAACCTTAGGATTTACAACTTAAGAGCTATTGGAATACAATCTCCCATGTATTAAAATACCAGACTAATTAATTGTTGGCATTGTTTATCATCCTGACATAGACAGGAGGTAGTAGTAATTTTTCTTTTCTTTTTTTTTTTTTATTCAAAGACTAGAAAGCAATTTAAGCAAATAATCCATTCTTGGCTTTATGTTGAGCCTAATGAAGACAAATAACTGCTCTAAGTGAATGCACTAATATTACCTGCATTACTGTAACTGTACCCATAACTGTAAAGATCTCAACTTGTAAAACAAGTATTTTGTATTGTGTATCATTTTATGTGTAAAAAAATAGTTTTAAAAAATTCAGAAGTGGTTTTCTTGTCTGAAATCATATTCTCAGTCACCAGTGTTATTGTTGCTACATCATAGAAAGTTCTGAGAACTATTAATAGTAATGGCTACTTAAAGGCAAATTTAGTCTCTGGGAAGCTTCTAATACTAGTGAAATGTTGACTTGTCTCAGTGTTCCTTAGTTCATGTAAAAAGTTTGTGTTAAAATTCTATATGCATAGCATCTGCTAAATACTGAGGAAACACTGCCTAACTCACGGGCACTGTGGGCATTTGCCTTCCTGCTGTGTGGCATTTGGTCAGACCAAGCTAAGTGAACACAGCGCCAGAAAAACACAGCCCGACTGAGCATATTTACGCAGCCCTCCTTGAGAATCAAGGAGGTTGAGAGAAAGAAGAGCCTTTGTAGGAGGCAAGAGGAACCACTCCGAATTCTCCTGCCCATCTGACTAAATACGTTGCTAGGGTTCCTTTGTCCCTTTCCCCTCCGCCAAAAAAAGTACATGACATTATCTTTTTTATTAGTATTAATGTATCAATAATAAAATTGACATTTTATATAGTCCCTGTCCCAGTAAGCCTGGCAGGTTGGATAGCATACAAATAAAACCAACATTAATAAAAATAAGTAATATAAACACAAAGAGAGAGGAATGTGTAATTCTGAAATTATCTATCCATCCCAGTATATAGCCATGGAAATAGACTGAGAGAGGAAAAGGGAGGGTAAAAGTGAGCTGAGAGAATAGCTCAGCCTCTTTCTCCTATGTGATTGCCAAAAGCAGTTCAAATTGTTAATCATTTCATCCACAATTTCCATTTTGTATTTCTGTAACTATGTCTCCTCACCCAAAAAAGAGGATTTGGGGCTGAAATATCTCTGCATTCCTTTTCAACTCAAACTCAAACTCTGTGATTGATTTTTTTCCCAAAGCTAAGTAGAAAATTAATCAGAATGAGTCACTGGCCTCCTTTTTAAAATAAAAAAAAATCACTGGTCACCCAATATTTTGAAACTTTCCAGGCTGTCAGTCAACTTTATTTAACAAAGCAATCATTTCCTTTAAAATTGTATCATTTGAAAGTTAGGTTTTATCATCGGTAGCCAGAACTAGACTAGACAAGTAGTAGGACAGTGTAGATGTAGATGCCCACTGACTGCAAATCAAGCCCTGAAGATCAATCAACAGGTGGGAATGTGATATTGAATGCTCATTATCCTGTGAGATCATAGAATTTCATAAAGGAAATATTTGTTTACTAGAGAGGAGAAAACCAATACTTTGAGTATATATAAATATATTCCATTAGGTATATATTAATGAACTTTTATGATTTGTAAATGGCAGTACACTATCTTTTATATCTTTCCTAAGTTCCTATAATAGACAAAGTACCGGTAGTGCCCTTTCATCAACTTCATTGGCAGCAGTAACATAACTAAGACCCTATACCAAGGAAATTAAGAAAACATATCAACCTTAGATTTTTAGAACCAAATGCTGTTGTGCCTGACCTGCATGCAGTAATATTAACAGAGATTTTGTTTGTTTACATGCACAGCATCTTAAGTTCCTTTTTACTAAACTTAAGTCATCTCTAGCTCCCAGATGTGCATGAATATAGATGTTTTTATAGTATTTATGATTCTTTCAGCAAAAGGGAAAGAGGAGGGAGAGAAAGAGACAATAATATATAAAATGCTGCATAAATTATAGAAGCTTCTTATAGGCTTCTTTCAGCAAAAGAAGGGAATAAGGAAGGAAGAAAGAAGGAAGGAAAAAAAACATATCTCAAATAGGTTCAGAGAAAGGAATTTACTGGTTAACATAACTAAAAACTTCTAGGAACTAGTCTGGGTTTAGGCACAGCTGAATCCAGCAGCTCAACAGTGTCATCAAGAATGGTTCTTTTATGAATTCTCTCACCTTTGCTTCCCTTTGTCTTGGTTCCATCCTCAGGCATGTCCCTCTCTTATGCTGGCACATGGGTTGCTACATGCTCCAAACTTATCTCCTGACAACTCCAAGTCCAATATAAGTAAGAGTGGATGCTTCCCTTTCAAAGGATCTGACTTTGTAGCTCAGAGACTTTGATTAGGGCATCTGCTCGTCCCTAAATGACCACTTTGGGCCAGGGAGGTACAGTGTTCTGATTGGCTAGGCCTGAATCAAATGCCCATCTCTGTAGGTAGAGATTGTGTTAATACCACCCAAACCAAATGGACTGAGGTTGAAAAAGATATGATTTCCCAAAAGAAAATTAGTTTGTTATTGTTAGAAAGAATAAAAGAAATAGATATAAAATCAAACCACAAATATCTACTACCCTTTTCTGACTGCCCTATTTCCATATACACTGTTTTTCCCATATCTTCAATTTCAAAATCTCACTAATAATCCAAACACACTCACCTTCTCCTCACAGGGAGGAAATACAAATCTCACATATTTACTGTATCCACCTCCTAGTCCAGCACACCTAGGTGAGGTCAACTCTTCTGCCAGGTTAAGATGGACAAGCAACCTAAGCCCAAAAGATGTTTATCCACCCCAATGTGTCCACTGAACATATAGTTGTGGAAAGAGAACAGGATATGGTAATAATGAGTTCTATTTGGAAAAGAAACTAAAATGTGTAGATCATATCCTACTGAACAAGGAAATTAAAGACTGTTCTAACTCTGAGCATTCCAGTCAATGGTTGGGGAGGAGGGGCATTAAAAACTCTCCTGGGAGAGAGAGGCAAGATGGCGGATGAGAAAAACCACCAGCCAGAGTGATTCTACAAGAAAGACAGATTTTAGAAGAAAGTGAAAAAAATAAAAAAAATAAACAGGCAGACAAACATAGATTGGATGAGGGTAGGAATGAAGGATGCCTGAAACTAGAGGAGACTCCATGGGAAGAAGTTGCAGAGGAGAACTGGAAGGAGAAAGTCCTCCAAGAGGCTTGGACACCAGCAATAAGGTAGGTGGAGCAGTTAAATTTCCCCTCCCTTGCATCTCAGACTGCTGGTGGGCTCCTGAGCAGTTGGAGAGACCTGCCAACACCAGCCCAGAGAATGGTGAGCCACTTGTGGACAGAGCACCAGGCTCCCAGATCCCTCGGGGCACAATTCACAATTGCAAAGATATGAAAACAACCCAAGTAACCATCAATACATGAATGGATTAATAAAATGTGGTATATATGTACCATGGAATTCTACTCAGCCACAAACAACAATGTTGATTTAGCACCTCTTGTATTATTGTGGATAGAGCTGGAACCCATTCTATTAAGTGAAGTATCTCAAGAATGAAAAAACAAGCACCACATGTACTCACCATCAAATTGGTATTAACTGACTTAACTGACCAACACTTACGTGCACGTATAGTAGTAACATCGGGTGTCGGGCAGATGGGAGGGGGAGGAGGGGATGCGTATATACACACACATAATGGGTTTGGTGCACACCATTTGGGGGCTTGGGCATGCTTAACCCTTTGCACTCGGATGTCGAGTGTGGGTAATGTCGAGTGGATAATGAGAAAAATGCAAGCGAGTGCAAAGGGTTAAAGCTCTGACTCGGTTGGGGCAAAGGCAATATACATAACCTAAACACTTGTACTCCCATAATATGCTGAAATAAAAAATAATAATAATAATAAAAAAAACTAAAGGTTTAAAAAACCACAAAACTCTCCTCTAACCTCAGGATGTATGCCAGTTGCATTTTACAATGGTAATAATTGTTCCCTTCCACAGGTACTTGGGAGGGGCCCAGGGAATCATACTTCTCTCAGGCCCCATCATACCTCTGGCTACAATTCCCATCTCTCTGACTTAATGTGCAATACCTTTAGCTTAGGACTGAAAATTCGATGCTTCAAAAAGTCTCAACTGATTTCTATTTAGGGAAACAAAATTACTTCATATATTCCAAGTGTCAGAGACACTTTAATGCAAAGAATTGGTTACACAGGTGATGGATAAATTGAGAAGCCAAATAGGGAACGGTGAGGGCCACCTAGAGAAGAACAAAAGCAGGAAGCCACTGCCCCTTCTAGGATGAAAGGACAAAAGACAGGGAGCCAGAATCACTAAGTAGATGCTGCAATGTTGGCTGTCCTCTCTCGTAGGAGCTGGATCCAGTGATGAGTTTCAGCTGCTAATGGAGCTACCATTAATGACAGAGAGGGAGGAGAAGGAATACGATCCCCCCCAAACACACACACACACACGCACACACACACACACACACACCTCTTCCTCTGCTCTCCAGGAAATGTATCTCAGTTGCTTAACTCAGCTGGAACATAGTGTGGAGGAGTATATTACAGATTAGAGCAGGAAAAGGGCAAGGAATAAACCTGCCAATAAACAGACCGAGGTCTGACTAACAAGTCTGCAGATTGGTGGATTCTCAACCATCTTGGATTACTGACCTCGAGCAAAAAGCAGCTCTTAGCAAAGCCTGAATTTCCTCCCTCTTTGCTTTCAGATACATTAACTTCAGCTAACTTTGTGTGTTTACTGTAAAATAATACCAATTAGGAAACTGTTCGGCTGCAA